GTTGTCCTGTGCCCCCACAGGACGTTGTCAAGATTGTCAATCCATGCCCCTTTGTGTGCATCTAGCTTCTTTTTAATTCCTTTGCCCATCATTTTATTGGCTGATTCAACCAAACCGTTGGATTGTGGGTGTTCTACGGCAGCAAAGTGGTGTCGTATGTGCAGGCTGCTCATTAATTCGCGGAACTTGGCATCGGTAAATTGAGTGCCGTTATCCGTGATAACCTCTCCGGGGATGCCGAAACGGTACACGATGCTTCTCCAGAAGAACCGTCTTGCTTTTTGAGAGGTTATAGTCACCAAGGGTTCTGCTTCTACCCACTTGGTAAAATAGTCGATAGCGACTATCAGCCACTGAATTCGCCCAGCTGCCATAGGGAAATGACCCAGAATGTCGTATGTCGGCGAACCTCTGACATTTTTTGCATTTTTTGACGTGTTCGTGAGCATCACGCTCCATAGTTGGCCAATAAAATCCAGCTCTCAACGCCTTTTTTGCTAGTGAGTGACCGCCCATGTGATGGCCGTTGATTCCTTCATGGATATCTTCTAACACGTATGGAACATCAGTGGGATTTAAACATTTCAAGAGTGGGGTTGAGAGTCCTCGCTTGTACAACCGCCCTTGTACTATGCAGAAATGGGCGCTTCTACGAATTATCTTTCTAACATCTTTTTGGTTGGGAGGTACGGCCCCTTCAGCTAAATAACTGACAATGGGCGTGATCCAGGTTTCTTCAATGGCTCCAGGGGCTTGCTCTGAGATACACATGACTACGCACGAGTTTGGCATACTCTGCTGAACTATAGAACGATTGTTGCCTGGGCTTTTAGTGCTTGCCAGTTTGGACAGAATGTCCGCCCGGGTATTTTCAGTACGCCGGATATGTTCCACCTCAACACTCTCAAAACTTCCGATTAGCTCTCTGACTTTTTGTAAGTATTTGCACATCAGTGGTCCTTTGGCCTGGTACTCGCCGGAGATTTGAAATGTCACCAGCTGGGAGTCACTAAAGACTTTGAGGCGGTTGACCCCCATTTCCTTTGCTTGGATCAGACCAGCTATCATGGCCTCATATTCTGCTTGATTATTTGTGGTGCTGAATTCAAACGATAAAGAATGTTCGACAGCCACGCCATCCGGATTTTCTATTATCATCCCAGCACCGGAGCCTTTGGCGTTTGATGAGCCATCTACGAATAGTTTCCACGTTTCTGATAACGGTGTTCACATGGCTTGGTTCTTGGGCGGGGAGAGCTGCGTCATTTCTGCAATGAAATCAGTGAGTGCTTGAGCTTTGATGGCAGTTCTAGGCTCATAGGTGATCTGATACTCGGACAACTCGATCGCCCACGACATCATTCTTCCTGCCAAGTCTGGCTTGTGCAGGACTTGGCGGATTGGTTGGTTGGTCCTGACGGTGATTGGATGGCATTGGAAGTACGGTCTTAAACGCCGTGCGGCAAAGATAAGCGTCAAAGCTACCTTTTCCACCTGTTGGTATCGAAGCTCTGCTCCTTGTAGGACCTTGCTGATGAAATGTACTAGCTTTTGTCCTTCCATTGATTCTTTGACAAGGGCTGCACTGATTGCCTCGGTACTTACGACGAGATACAAATAAAGCATTTCTCCATCGTCTGGTTTGGCGAGCACTGGTGGACAAGAGAGTGCCCTTTTGAATTCCTGGAAGGCATTCTCACATTCTTCCGACCACCGAAAGGCGGTTCCTTTTTTTAGTAAGCCAAAAAGAGGGAGCGATTTGTGAGCCGAATTGGCCAGAAAACGAGTGAGAGCTACTAACCTTCCTGTGAGTTGCTGAACTTCCTTGATTGTTTGCGGGCTTCGCATTTCAATCACTGCCTTGCACTTATCAGGATTGACTTCAATGCCTCTTTCAGTGAGCATAAAGCCTAGGAATTTGCCCGTGGGAACTCCGAAGGCGCATTTGCTTGGATTCAAGCGCATGTTGAATTTCCTGAGTCTTTCAAAAACACCTTGTAGATCAACCAAATGTTGTTCCGACGTTCTTGATTTGGCGATCATGTCATCGATGTATACTTCGATGCAATTGCCAATCAGGTCTCTGAATACTTCATTCATCATCCTTTGGTAAGTGGCCCCAACATTTTTTAGACCGACGGGCATCATTGTATAACAGTAATTGGCGTTCTGAGTGATGAACGCCGTTTTGTCTTGGTCTTCTTCAAGAAATGGGATCTGATTATAACCAGAGTATGCGTCCATGAATGATAGCATTTTGAATCCGGACGCGTTGTCAACCAACTGATCGATGCTAGGAAAAGGGTAAGCATCCTTTGGACAGACTTTGTTTAGGTCAGTGTAATCAACGCACATTCGCTATGCGCCGTTTGGCTTTTTTACCAATACTGGGTTGTATAACCAAGTTGTGTACTTGATTTCCCTGATGAACCCGGCGACGTGTAGCCTTTTGACCTCTTCATCAATCACCCTCTGGCGGTCGGGACCGAATTTCCTCTTTTTCTGGGCGACTGGCTTGGCTTTGGGATCCACCGACAAACGGTGGCAGCAAACGTTTGGATTGATACCTGGCATGTCAGACGGCTTCCATGCAAACAAATCTTTGTTTTCCTTGAGCAACTTGATTAACTTGTATTTCATCTCTGGTTCGATGGTGGCCCTGATGGTTGTTGTTTGATGATCCGCATCTCCTAAGACAACATGTTACAATGCTCCATCCGGCGTGGGTCTGTCATGTTCCACGCGCGGATCGTCTCTAGCGTCAAATTCTACCAAAAAACATTGGTCACGCTCTTTTGACTTCTCGCCGAGATTTCTTTCTGATGGCGACGTCGTCCCCTGCTTGAGGGCCCTTTCATCACTGAAGCTAGCTTTGGCCATTGGCCGTAAGGATATGTTGTAGCAGCTTCGGGCTATCGTCTGGTCTCCTCGCACTGTGGCGACTTTGTTGTCTCGGGCAACGAACTTCATTGCCAAGTGGGGGTGTGAAATGCTTGCCTCGAAGGCAGCAAACATCCTTATACCAAGAATGGTGTTGTAAGCTGATGGGGTGTCGAGCACCAAAAACTGGATGTCTGCGGATCGTGAGGTGGGCGGCGTTCCAAGGGAGAGCCGCAAGGTAATCACTCCCAGTGGATTTGTGGTGGTAGCGTTGAAACCTGAGAGTTCACCTGTAACAGGAGTTAGACTATCAACAGTGAACCCTAACGCTTTAAAGCATGGTAAAAACAAAATATTGGCTGAGCCGCCGTGGTCAATAAAAACGCGATTAACGCCGAAGTTGGCGATTATAGCTTGAATGACAAGCGGGTCGTCATGTCCTGGGAGGACGTCGCCTAAATCGCTGGCGTCCCAGACAATTTGAGGCTTTGTTGGACTAGGACTGTGCTTTTCTTTGCTTATCACTTTGCCAGCGACCGCCAGACACTGCTGCAAGTGTTTCTTTCTGGCGTTCGCAGTCTCTCCTCCTCCACTCAGCCCGCCTGAAATCATGTTGATCACTCCGTGCTTCACCGCGGCTGAATCTTCGTCTACTTCTTCGCGCCTTCCTCTACGGTCTGGACTTGCTTGCGCTCTGCGATTCCTGGGGGAATCTTCTCTCCTGTCACGATTGTAGGAGGGTCTGGATCTAGGTTGACGCGTTCTCCTTCTTTCAGGCGACTTGCTGCGCTCTCTATATCGCCTCCCTGTTCCCGAAGGGCGTGAGCCGTCTCCTCCTCGCCTTTGCATTCCGCTTTTGATGAGTTCATCGATTTCGTCTTTGAGGTGCCTGCACTGGTCAGTGTTATGACCGTTGCTGCGATGGAACTTGCAGTACATGATGTTTTCTTTAGGCGGGTTCTGAGACTGTTGGGTGTTCTTGGATTCTTCTTTATACTCCGTTTGTAGGACGGCATGTGTCTTACGACCTGATATATCACGCCCGGAAGGGCGGTTTGAATATTTGGCTGGTTTATTACCTTTTTTACTCTCTTCCATTTGGTTCTTTTGTTTACCGAGTGCCTTTTCTTGACCGTGGGTGTCCTCGGCTCGACTTCCTTTGTACTCTTCGATTCGCATGTACTCCTGGGCCAACCTCTTGACTTCTTCCAGGTCAGTGATCTCGTGGCGGGCGAGCTCGTACGCGAACGCTCCTTGCCGTAAACCCGAAAGAAGTATATGTACCTGTACTTTTGGGTCCAGGCCTTGCACTTGTAGGGCCTCCTTATCAAAGCGATCTAAAAAGGACCTGAGGGATTCACCTTGTTGTTGGCGTACTTTTTCTAGCGAGTGGACGGATTTCGGCACAGGGCGACTGGTTGCAAAGTGAGACTGAAACTTGCTTGCCAACTCATCCCACGAAGCGATACTACCAATCGGTAGAGTAGTGTACCATGTTAAGGCTCGTCCCCAAGTAGCGTGGGGAAGGTCCTGCACATGAGGAGATCGGTTTCACCATGGAGAGTCATGGCCGCCTCAAACTTCTGGATCCATTCAAAAGGATTGGCATCTCCGACATATGTGGTGATATTGGAGGGTCCTTTGAAACCAAGGGGTATGGGAGTTAACCGGAGGATATCAGTCAGGGGTTTGTTGCGCCCTGACGTATGAGCTGGTGTGACTCGTAGGTGGTTGTTTCGGGGGGGCCGGTCCATTTGCGGTTGATGAGCTTCAACGGAGTAGGAGAGGGCTGGGGCGTGATTGAAAGGTTGTTGGGCGGCATATGGTTGCTGACCCTGGTTTTGATAGGACACTTGGTGTAGTGGAACGGCCAGATTTTGGGGTTGGGCAGCGTAACCTTGGAAAGGAAAACCAGCTGGGTAAAGCTGAGGGAATGGGGCGTATGGTCCCATAGGGAACAGGGTGACCATCGGTGTTCGATAATCGTTGTGCATGGCTACTGGTAGACTTTGGGCTGGTAGCGGACGATGGGCTCGTGGGACGGGAATGACTGGTGGGGCAAAAGTGTGAAGAGGCATACCAAAGCGAACTTCTGGTGGCGGGGGTTGGTCTTGTATCAAGTTTTCTCCTTGCATTTCACACATAGGCGCGTGATGGTTTAACTATGCTATCCTGGGTTCGACTGCTTGCATTTGTGGACCGACGGATTGTAGTACTGGCTGGAGCATCTCGCCGGGGGGTCTCTCGGCTGGGGCTGAATGCATCGATGACGGGGAGTTTGAATGTATTGTTTGTACGTGACCGTCAGGTGTAACAGCCCTGGTTTGTTCTGCTCTTCTGGTTGTGACGACCATGTTTGTTACCAAAACGTAAAACTCGTCTTGTGGATCTTTGGTAGGAGAATGGGAATAGGAGTTTATAGTTTCCCACAGACGGCGCCAATGTACCGTTAGGTTCTATGAGCCCACTATGTACCCTATAGGGTAATGTTACTATATGGATTATACCACTAGGCGAGGTAATGACCAGACTAGTAGGTATAGTTCCAAGATGCAAGCAAGTTAATAGTAATGGCAGATTAATAGCAAGAGAATGACTAGGAAGTAAATGAGCATAACAACAGTACATAAAAGATACCTCTCAGGTGTGCCCCGGAGGGCTATTTATAAGGGAAATGGAGCGAGTTGGTGAGGGAGAGGTCAACTCTCCTTGGGATTTACTCCCATGGTGCAGTGTTAGGCGTGCTGGCGCTGTCATTGTGGCAGTGCTGCGCCCTCTGCACTCTGGCGGTGTCAGCACTGGGCAAAGGGGGAGTTTCCCTTTGTGGTTTCTGTCGTAGTCGCCTTCAACGGCAGGCGTTCCAAGATGGGACATTTTGGTGTATGCCTTGGGCCTACTGCTACGTTAGGGGTTGAGGGGGTCCATGTCAGCCCTAAGGGCTGACATGGGGCAAGGCTGTGGCTGGGCTTGAGTGATTGGGCCAGCTGAGGGTTGGGCCTGTGTAGTTGGGCCACCCCAGTATTTGGGCCATCCAGAACAGTTATGATTCTCCATCTTTAATACTTTATTTTATTTTCACCTTTGTATGGTTATGATTTCTCATATTTAATGCTTTCACATAAATATATAGGGAATCATGACCATACAAAGGTGAAAATAAATATAACCGTTGGATCCACATAATCGATCTAACGGTAAAATTGATTGGTAATAATACTAATTGATTGTTACAATATCCTATCCTTTTTTTAAAATATAAATATTTGTTTCTTAAACCCAAAATGGTGTGATTTTAGGGTGGAGAGAAATGATTTTATCTCTTATTATGGGAAAAGTATTTTTCCAGTCATCTAGAGATAAAGTTATCTTCAGTGAGCTCAAAACGACGTCGTTTTGGGTTATAAGATTAAAAAATTATAATGATAAAGACTAATATAACTCTGCAATATATTATAATTATAAAAATACTTTGATTTCTGTCCTAGAATGACGTCATTTCGAGCTCACCGGAGATAACTTATCTTCCGTTTGATCAAAGAAATCTTATACCCCTTATTATAGAAGAAATACTTTTGGCTAAAATAAATTACAGCTATATAGCGCCAAATTTAAAAATAAAAATAACACACAATTATAATTGAAAATCGAAAAGTAAAAATGAATATCCAATTTTCTTCGTCTAACATCTAATAATGAATAAATGCCAGAAAAAACACAGTCGCTGACCAGAAATTATTATCCCACCAACAAGGGTGTTAAGTACCCAGAATGTGTTACCAAAAAAAAAAAAAAGTACCCAGAATGAGCTGCGACATTTGCTGTTACCTGATTTTATCATAAATCCGAAAATTTATTAAATATATAATAAGAAGTAGGATATTTCTACTACCAATTTTTTCTACTACCACTTTAATCACCATTGGATTCAAAAGTTATTTTTTTTTTCTCTCTTCATTCAATTTTTCCTTTAATTCAATGGTGATTAAAGTGATAATAGAGTAGTAGTAAAAAAATTGATAGTTAGAATATCCTAGCTCGTATAATAAATGTTATTATTATCTTCGGAAGAGAGGAAAAAAGAAGAAGAAGAAAAAAAAAAAAAAAACAGATACATCCCCACGTCGAACTCAGTTGAAGCAGTGACTTGTGTGTAGCGGAATAGTCCAAAATCGAAACCCGGAATTCGTAAGTTGGAATAAGGAACGTTTCTCGTTGTCTTGTTGAGTTGTGATTCTCATTCGCTATGCACACTCCCGATGACCTTCGCAACCTTCCCATCGACATCACTTTTTCTCGTCTCGGAGGTCACAAAATTATTCTCAATTTCACCAATTTCGTTTTTTTTCTTTTCTTCCTATTTTGTTGTTGATTTCTGATTTTGAATTTTTCACCGTTGAAGAATGGTTGATCGATCGCAAGAGAGTACCTGCGGATTGGCGGAAGCGCGTGGCGGCGATCAGAGCTCGAATTTCCAAGGAATTCTCATTTCTTCCCAAAGATTCTGATCCCTTTTTTCAAACCCTAGATCCCGAAGGTTAGCCTTTTTTTTGTTTTCCCTTTTTTTTTTTGAGCCAAAGGAAAAATAAAATAAAATGTGATGGCTAATTATGTTGTTCATGTGTTATAGTTTGCTTTCTGTTGTCAAAAATGTATTATTACTCACTGAGGTATAAACAAATATAATGCTTTGGTAACAAACTTTGGTGTACATAAGATGGGGATTAAAAGCAGCATTGGCATAAATTGTTATCAGTAAATTAGTGGCATTGCTATTTTCAGGGATTGGTTATTTGGAGGCCAAACAGATATATGATATTCTCTTAAAGTCTAATCCAGAAAGCAGGAACATATTTGGTCGGCTATCAGGTGCTGCGGTAAGATGATAGCCTTCTTATTCCGTAAACCTTCATGTTTTTGAGATTATTGTTATCATTCATATTATGTATGTATATATGGGTCAAGATCATTTTACACCAGTGTATGTTACACTCTCAATCTTGACCATTGATCCCACTTATATCTTAGAGCTCTAATTTTTTAGTAATGTGAGCCATTGGATACAAGTGGATCAATGATCAAGATTGAGTGTAAGACTTCTAACTCTTACATTGGTGTAAGAATATCCTGCCCCTATATATATATATATATATATATATATATATATATATATATATATATAATTTGGGTGAGAATCATATCACTCCCCCTCTTTATATTATCTTAGATGGATTGGAGATAACCTATTAGCATTGTATTTTAATTTTAATTTATGGATAAAGGGTGACACTGAGGTTCGAACCTATAATTTTTATCTGTGCGTGTGCGTGTGTGTTATTTTTAGTTATTTTTTCTTAATCTGTTCTTGCTTTTATATGGGTTTATCTACTACAGATCCTAACTAATTTGGGATAAAGGTGATGGTTATGTTGATGTTGATATAATTTGGGCAGGGTGCATGGGAAGGGATAGTGCGATCTTTTGAGAAGGATCATGTTTTCCTTGGTGAGGCTGCACAGATTATGATTCAAAATGTGAACTATGAAATGTAAGCATTGTGATTTTTTGGTTTTCATTAAATTTTATGAAGAAGTTGTGTACGAGCAAGTGCAGTTCTATTTGTTTAAAAGGTTTGGTTTTTGTCACTGAGCGTTTGTTTCCGTTATGAAGCCCTTATCAGAGGAAACAGGTGCAGAAGATTCAACAGCAGCTGTTAGAACTGGATCGTAAGGAGGCTGATATAAAAAGAAGTGCTGCTCTCTCGGCAGTCAAATATGCCGAAGCTTGCCAGGAGCTTGGATTACAGGTTTACATTTGTGGGGTGTTTGAGCCATGGTGAAAACAATTTACTTTCTGTTACAAGGACATAATGATTATGATTTTTTGCAGGGAAAAAATGTCAGACTAGAACTTTTGGAGACAGCAAAATCACTTCCAAGCACTTTTAGCAGGATTTTGGATGTTGTAAATAGTGAAAACATGTCACGGGCGATTGAGTATTATTCCAATTTTGTCAGAGATGCTCACACTGAAAATGATGTAAGGAAGAACTGGAAATCTTATTCATTTTATAGCTGTAATTAATGCTTGATGCATTATTCCTGCAACTCTTTTGAATGATGTCACCACAAGAATGGTTTTAGGGTTGACAGGGTTCAATATACATAAATTAATTAGGATTAAAATCATGGCTGCAGAGATCTTCCAGAGCTGTGCTACAAAACTTGGGGAATATGCGCGAAAACCCCCCATCTTTAGATGTTGCTGTTGGTTCTGAGATTATTAATGATGTTAGTGTTCACTCAGGCAACAATGAATTATATCCTGCAACAAGCAATGTGGAAGTTGCTGCTCCTGACATTGACTGGGATATTTCAATGGAGAGTTCTCAAATTGATTGGGACATTGGAACTGTAGAAGAAACAGAGGATACAGGTAATGGCTTGGGTCCTTATGAAATCATTAATGCCTCTGATGTCATACAGACTTCTTCAACAACTGAGGATGTCGGATCTGATCCTCCAATATCAAACCAAGAACTTGGCTTGCATGGAGATATATCTTGGGATGTTAGTGTGGAGACTCCTCAAGTTGACGTGATTGATGATGTTAGTGCCCCAAATGTAGTGCTGGATAATCAGACTTCTCTTCCAGATGCCTTATCTCAACTAACACAAAACAAGGAAGAAAGGAGCCAACTTTTAGATACAGAGTACAGAAATAAAATTCTTGATGATCTATATGAGGTATGAAGAAAGTTCTTGGTTTTGCTTTTAAAATTTCAAATGTTACACGCACAGACAGAAAGAAACAAAAATCTAGCAAATTCTGTTTACATTTTATTTTATTTTTTGCTAGTAAACAGTATTCTCACTGTATGCACTTATTAGCTTGATGTCATTCTTCTAATTTCTAGACTAAATCTTAAGTTTTGTATTTATTTCATATTGCCATCAGCTGAAATCTTTTTTAAACCAACGGTTGATTGAGTTGAGGAATGAGGAAACTTTGTCCCTACAGCATCAAGTCCAGGCAGTTGCTCCATTTGTACTACAGCAGTATGGTGCTGATGCTATAGAAACAATGCAAAGTGATGTTTCTTTGGCAATTTCATTGCTGACAAATCATAAGACAAGGGATCTGATAATGATTCTCAACTCTAAAAGGTACTGCTTGAACCTAAGATTTCATGCTTATGAGAATCACGTTCACTGAGTTAAATACAGCTGTATCAGATTTTCTCTCACTTTTGCATGAAATTTCTGTGATGACTATACGGAGTCAAAATTCAACCTTGGAAAATGGCAACTGGTATACGAAAATGCAAGTTTACATATTGAATTACTTCTTAACAGGAAGATGGTAGCTTTAACGTTGAAGGAAAACTGATTTAAGTTTATGTTTCAAACAAAAACAAGACGAATGATTTCAGGTTGAGCCATACTTGGATTATATATAGTTTATTCTCAAGTGTGATGTGTTTGGCCTGCATAACAGAAGTAAGAGTTGAAGGCTTCAGCAATTGTTTTATCATGGACAAAGATGATGATTTCTTGTGAATTTCAACTTGTCTATTTAGTTTTCAATTTTATCTTGTATTACTGTGCAACTTGAAAGGATAAAGTTCTGGATGGCATGTTGATGCACACTTTTCTCTTTTCTACATCTTTCAAAATATTAGATGTTTGGGATGAAGGGCATGCAATTTTTCTTTTCTGTTAATATATATGCTTGTGCACATGCTTGTCGATAATTTGGAAGTTACTCACCCCAATCCACATTAAGTATATTCTCTTCTTTCTTGAGTGGCACTCCTATTGTATCCAATCATCATATTAATTGATTATGGCGTTGGGTCAAATTTCAGGTTTCTAGACAGACTAGTCAATTCATTGGAGGAAAAGAAGCATCATGAAGTCAGGTTGAAAGAGGGGTTGAAGGACTTGGCTACTAAACGCATGGAACTGCATAATTCTTTATCTTCATCATGGCCAAAGCAAGTGAGTTCTGCTTTTGTGTGCTTGTTCTTTTCTGGGGGAGAGTATTCATTGTGTTCAACTAATTTCATGCATTATAGTATCTGATAGTCTAGTATAAGATCGCAAACTCACCTTTTCCCCCCTTCGTTCCTATTGTTTTAGCCCTAGATTAGACCGAACTATTACTAGATACACGTTCTCTTAATAAGTTCATAATGCTATTTCGTGTTGAATGAATTGCAGGATGCGGCTCTGGCAAAAACAAAGGAGCTGAAAAAACTGTGTGAGGGTACACTTTCATCCATGTTTGATGGAAGACCAGTTAATATAATCGGGGAGATCAACACTCTTTTGACTAGTGGTCTTGGAGCATGAAGAAAAGTAGCTTCTGATGATAATGATGAAGTCTTTAGGTGGATAATGGCTATAGCCAAAATAACTGAAGAATTAGGTGTTTTATGGGGTAGGGCTTTCCCTTTTCTTTTGTTCTTATTTGTTACGTTACCTGTTCATTTTTTTGACAAAAAAGGACAGAACTTAGACAATGGCGTATCCATCCTGATAATTCTTATTGATATGTTATGAATGAAGTGACTTTTGGTACTCGGTCATTTTGAAATTGTGTCCCTATTGATGTTACAAGCAGTTTACATTTTGTTCTTGCACTAACCTTGGTGGTGTTTTGATTACATTTTGTTCATATTTTTAATTGATATTTTTTTATAACTATAAAAGTACAACACTATTTTACCTTATCGTTAATTTTCGAAAAATTTACAGACGAAATGATTAAAATAATAAAATCTGTTTTTATAATTTCCTTTACAACATCTTGACAAAAAATAAAAATAAAAAAAATAAAAATGTGTGAACAAGATTGCATTTTTATATTTATAAACAAAAATATATTAATTAAAAATAAAAATAAAAAACAAATCAAACATCCCGTAGTTTTTCCATTAGCAAATGGGAATGAAGTTACTATATTGGAGCCTAATATTATCAGAGAAGTGGTAAAACTGGTCAACTCATTCCAATCCATTTCCAAAGCAATAAAAGTGGGACGAAACCAACTGTCTCTTTTTATATGACTGGTTGGCAGGTTAACTTATCGAAATAAAAAAAAAAAAAACTAAAAGAAGCAGAACCCACAGGCAACATGAACATCCAAGATAGTATATTTGACATGGATTTCCATCGTTCTTCATGCAAGTATAGTGTTCAACAGGTGGTGTGCAATACTTTCCCCCTGATGTTCTACCCTAAACCAAGAGAAACTTGCACTAATTCCAATTAAACAATTATAATCAAATTCTAGATTTAAAAAAAAAAAAGAAAAAAGAAAAAAGAAAATACACCAATCAAGCAAAATAATAAATTCACTCCATCCCTTTCATGGGATCCTAGCTGAAATAATAAGGTGCCCAATTTCCCTCAAACTTCCCAGCACATGTTCTCGCTTCCTATACAATCTTATAAAATTTCAATCAGACACAACTACATGCAAAGGTAAAATGCTCATCAAGGAAGCTCAGAGAGAAGAAAGCCTCATGAAATCAGTTCCAAAATATAAAGTATAACATGAAATAAGTAAGAGATTCAAGGTTCAAGGCTATGATCGTGACGAAAATCACAATCTCCACCCTTTATGTTCGATTTTGTGTTTGGGTTTGGAAGCAAATACAAAACTTGATTTCCTTCGACCATCTGGTAGGGGCCGTAATAACCAGAGAAACAAGAGCTCTGTGAACAGACCCATTAGAGTTAGGAGAGGGCCATTTTAGGCCCAAGATTATGTGGGCTGAAGGGGGAATCAGTTGTGAGAAAGTTATGGTTTGTTTGATTTCAATTCTCAAAAACAGTTTTTAAGTTTTTAAAACAAAAAAGTAAAAAAAAATTGTTTGAAAATGATTATTTTGCAAAATGTTTCTCAAAACAATAATTTTTTTTTTCAGTTTTAAAAACCAAAAAATCAAAACAACCTCCCGATGTTCTCCAATGGTGTTTTTGGTTTTTTTTTTTTGTTTAGGCGGAGACAATTTCTTAAATATCAGGATTCATTAATGGAAATTTCGTAAATATCAGGACTCAAAACAATTACTTTATGATGGTATTTTTGTAATTCTAAAACTTCATTAATCACATTTTTGTAAATAATTACAACCAAGTTTTTTTACTCTCAAAATCAGTTTTTAAAATTCATATTCAAAACAGTTTTTGAAAACAAAAAAAATTAAAACACTTTCAAACACACCCTCAGTCTCTGGATTCAGTTATTGTCTTTTGCAAGTCAATTAGTAGGCTTAGTATATAGGGAGATGTCATGTATCACCAGAACATTCATCTTGGAAGAAAATAATATAATTTGTTTTCGTCTTTCACTATATTCTTTCTTGAACCAACTAATTACAGGTTCGCACCCTATATCGCCATTCGTGACCTAGCCTTGCCCGCATAGGACATGTGTGGCGGTGGGGAGCTAGTATCACATAGATGTGCATGGATGGCGTCCAGGATTTATTATATTAGACTTAAGTGCTACACAATAATATCATGTTTTAATGTCGAATACAGTTGCAATGGGTTAGGCACGTTATCTCACGTGCGCAAATTTTTTTCTGGTGTTAGGGTTTCTGTTTCACAATTTTTTTGTGGGTTTGTGATGGAAGAAGCTACAGATACTAGTGATGAGGCTTTGTTAATGGCAAGGAAGAGTACTAAGAGAACTAAGAGTGGGGAAGAAATCCCGACGGAGGTACGTATAAGGGAAGCGGTGAAGGATTTCCAAACTGGATCATCGTTGAAAGCTAAACAACGTTCTTTTGTTGATGTCACGGGAGCGGAGAACGGGGTAGCATGGACTCTATTCCATGGTTGATCGAGGAAGAGGACTTAGATCTGGAGCCTTTGGACCCAAGCTTGGGTGAAATCTCAGAGTGGGGTTTTCAGACAATCTTCAGGGAAGATGGATCAGTGGAAATTAGGAGTAACAGTGAAGCAAGGGCGAGGATGCGACAACGTTGGAGAAATGCCTTTATAGTCAAGTTGCTGGGAAAGAAGATCGGAGTGGGCTTCATGAAGAAGAAGCTAGAATCCCTTTGGGCCAAAGCTGGTAGCATTATGGTGGCAGACTTAGGGAATGAGTTTCTCTCAGTGAGGTTTAGCTCATTAGAAGATCTCAATCTGGCGATCGCTGGTGGTCCATGGATCATTCTGGGGCACTACCTTGCCACTAGAAAATGGGAACCGTGTTTTGATCCGGACAAAGCAAACATACTATGTACCAACACACATACTATATGCATGAACATGTTATCCTACATTACTTACATACACTTTCTACCATCACCCTCAACGGGCATGGTGGAACACACAGGGGGATCAAGCCCCAATACCAAGAGGTTACCTGTATAATCCTCTCCACGTAGCTCCAATGCAATATATATTCCGAGCTCGTTTCACAACAGAAATGCCTACATAGAGGACATTCCCAATTAATTACCATTCATACAAACACATGCAAGTTATTAACTCTACAAGCATGGTTTCATAATACTCACCACAATCCCACTTGGTCCGGGACCAAGGGCAACCCACCGAGCTCACGGTTCGGGGTTCAACTCCACGTACGGCAACCTACAACGACCATATACGGATTGTCAGAATACGGTAAACCATCAAATTCATAGAACGACAATTTCTCCTCCCCCCACCTAGTGAGGTTCGGCCATCTATGTGTTATTTTACAAAATATTTTTCTTTATTTTCTTTCTAATTTTCTTAAGCACTCATAGGTTACCAGAGTACCATTTTAGGTGTCACTTTTCCTTTTATACCATCCTAACATCATTTTGCTCAATTATTTCCCTCTATGGACAATACACAATCCAATAAAATCCAATATTTTTCCATTGATTTTCAAGACATACAATCATCACACAACCCATCTAATTTCCATTTAATGACACAACACATCAACCAATTAATTTTTCACATCAATTCCTCACTTTCTTCCATTAAGGCCGAAATGCACCATAGGCATCCCCCAAGGGATTTTTAATCCAATTCAATTACTCTACACCTCATCCAATCCTATTATTACATCATACAACCATCCAACAACTCATTTACACAATCCTAACACAATTCCAAAACACAAAGTCATGGCATCATCCAAAAATTTCCTAAGTTAAACTCATTTTCACCAATAAATTTTATTGCATTTATAGCTCCAACACATCATTCTAAGACATAATCATCTAATACACAATCTCAATTTGAGCTCTCTAACTCCATGAATCAAGCATACAAGCCCTAGTTTTCATAAAATCAAATTCATCAAATCAATCCATGAAAGGTGTTGTAACTTACCCACAATCAAGGCACAAGGCTCCTCCAATTGATCCTTAAGCAAAGCTTGAGCAACAACTACAAAAACCCCAATTTTCTCCCCAAATTTCATGGCTGTATTTGCCTATTTTCTCACAATAGAGAGGGTTTCAAGGAAAACTAATCGGTGGAACGAGTTCGGGTGGTGGTTTCCATCAAATTTGCTTACAAACTTTGGTTGATTTGGTGGTGTATAGAGGAAGTTAGAAGCAAATTAAAATTTGAAGAACTCCCCCCATTTCCGTGGAGAAGCACGGCCCTAGGAGAGAGAAGAAGAAAGAAAATGATGATGAATAGTCCCTTGGACATGAGGCTTAAGTGGCTTAAGTGAGGTGGGCCCCACCGCCACCTCACGCGATTTCAAACTAATTCGAATTTCTCTCCGATTTCACTAAACGTCCATAAATTCATAACCTATTTTGAAACTCTAATTTTTAACATTAACCATTGTCCTTTAATTATCCTTGATTAGGTGAATCCGGAGTTTTCCGGTCGTTCGGAGAAAATGCAGTTTTAAGCTGTTGCGCGCGCCGTAGGCACGCTTCCCCAAACTTACTAATTTCCATCAATTTTTATCCGAAATCATATTTTCTAGTCCTATATACCATTTATAACTTGTATTCAAAACCTAGAGCTCAAAACTCAATTGGCACGTTTTACGGTGTAATCGTACTGCAGTATTTTACCCGGTAAAAACACAATTCACAGAATTTTCTGAAACTTGCCTATCCACTCAATTTTTTGTTCTGAATCCATTTCCAGGTTTATTTTTATCCTCTGAGATCTCCTACTCAATTTTACCTTCCTAGGGTTCGTGTTTGGCTAATTACCGCTTTACCCTTCCTTTGTATTTTGACCTGATTTTTAGGATTTTCACTAATCCTTCCCTTTAATCCATGTTTAATATATTAATATATAATTTAGAAATGCGAGGTGTTATAACATGCTGGCATGATCATTGTATATGTTTTACATTCTTATCAGATATCACCATTCCATATTCAATTATGATTTGCTGAATAAACCTAAAGTTTAAATCTGGAAATTGTAGTTCAAGATAACCACTGATGAGTTGGCATATTATCATGATATACAGTAGTATTGACACATGTGTAACACCCCGTATATATCCGGTAATGTTATATACTATCGTATTAAGCTGCGCTTAATTAAAAATGCGGAATATCTTTTTCTTTTCAATTATGATGTCATT